GATGCTTCTCTCCACAGCTCAGTTCGCTATGCTGGGAGCCTGTGTAGAGTAGACTAGTGTGTCTAGCTCACTCCGGAGTCAGAGCTCAACGCACAGCGTGATACTACTCCCTTCACACCCAGATCTATGATTCCCTCTACGCAACGTCCCCTGTCCTGACATGAGGTGTTAGTGCCCCCTTGTGATGGGACACCTGTTCAGTATTCACACCCAACCACATCCTGGGGCCGAATATACAGTTCCTCTCACATGCCTCCAACACCACCCAAGAAATCACGCCATCAGACATCAAATCTAATGAAAGTAACTAATCAGAACCCTAAACCCAGAAGGTCTGAGCCTGGGACCCATGGCTGTGATAAGAACAATATAACCAATACTGAACCATACATCTATTTAGACAAACCCAACCACACAGCAGGCAGCATTAAATTGATTTATTTTTCTCTGCTTTTTATTTTCTATCTAGTGACGGCCAGGGCACAAAATGTAATTGAAGAAATAATGCTGCAAGTAATATACTTTCATCCATTCAGCGAGGGAGCAGCAATTGCATTCATTCTTGTTTACGCTCAATGGAAACCTGCAAGCACTCTGAATGCTACAATGGCCTGCAACTCATACAAATGTCCTCCTCGCTTCAATATCGGCTGAAACTCACTAACCTCTGTGAGCATTTTTGAGGATTGTGTTTTGTAAGATAGAGAGAGAGAGTTGCCTTGGTTTATTTTATGTGAAGGAATCACTTTTTCATGCTTTTGCTAGGCACAATGATAACCCAGACAATCTAATGTAGGGAACCAGACATTCAAAATACCTGCTTGGATTATTCACTTTTAATGGCAAATCCATGGGTGACAGACTTTCAGCAAAAGTGCTCCATGTAAATGCAGCTCCACAAAACGTTTTTTAAGAAAGTAAATATTTGAGTTACCTAAGATGATCCTGAGTAAGGTTTTAATGTTCAGCCAAAAAGAAAGGGGGAAAGACTCATTTTCTGGGCTGTCGGATGTCATCAAGGAAGAATTGCAGATTTATTGTGATCTAGTGCTGCATAATTGTATAACAGTAAGAAGAGAGAGAGAGAGAGAGAGAGAAAGGGATATTAAACATGTAACAAAGAGCTCCCAGACACAATGAGAGCCATCCACCATAGTGACATGGCATGCAACACCACACCCATCCTAACTACATTCCACTTTTGCTTAGCTGTGCCTTGATGCATAATACAATTATTTACAAATCACATTCTCTTTCTGAATACATTTATCTATCTATGCTGATATGAAACTGACTGAAGTCATGAAAACACTTTGATTCAAACTACAGACCTAGGCATTTCTTTAATCCCCAGAGATCTCTACAGACAGACCTGTCATGCACAGATTGCGACAGGAACCAAAAGACTGACATAATGGCCAGAGCAAAAGACAGAACGCTCTGTAGCGAAGCCATGGAGACGATCAATCTGCAACAGTCTGATTCCTTCCCCCGCCAGTTACCCTCGGCAACATCACAGAGAGACGGAGACAAAGGACAAGCCATATGACTGAGAATAGAATAGAAGAGCAGAGGAGAATGAGTGGTGGAGGTAGGGTTGTGGAGCAGGCCTGGGGCTGCAGGAATAAAGTGTTCCTGTATGAGAGTGCACCTGGCCCTCGTCTGAAGAGCACGCGAGTGTTCAACAGAAGAGCTCTAAAACAAGAGTTCTCAGACTCTAAACCTGCCGTCTGTATCTCTCTCTGTCTGATTCCCTTTCTTTCTCTCAGGCTGTTTCTCTCTCTCTGTGATTTTATGTATTTCTGTCAGTCATAGAGAGAGATCCTCTTTCCTGTCTCTCTCTCTCCATTTCTTGTCCTCTCTTTGTCTCACTCAAGTCACTCTCCCTCTATCTCGCTCCCTATTTCAACTATGAGCCCTCCTAACCTTGTTTCATCTCTTTCTCTCTCTGTATCGCTGCCTGTCTTTCACACTCCCTCTAAAACCCTAAGCTCTAAATCCAATCTCTCTCTCATCAACAGCTTCTCACTCAGCTGGCATGCGAGGGCACAAATTAGCATGGAGTAGCAGGCTCTGTTTTGATGAGCTAATATCTGTCAGCCAACCTCCAAGCCTGTGTGACCATGACACTGTAGCCAAGTTTTACACACACACACACACACACACACACACACACACACACACACACGCACACACACACACAGAAGTTTGGCGTATGTGATGCTCCGTCAGTCTTTCTTTATCTCCCTCTTTCACTGTCCTCTCTCTCTCTCTCTCCTCTCTCTCTCTCTCTCTCTCCTCTCTCTCTCTCTCTCTCTCTCTCACTCCTCTCTCTCTCTCTCACTTTCTTTCTCTCTCTAACCCCTCTCTCTCTCACTCACTCACTCCTCTTTTTCTCTCAAGCCTCTCTCTCTCTCTCCTCTCTCTCTCATTCCTCTCTCTCTCTTTCTCTCTCTCTCCTCTCTCTCTCTCTGACCCAGAAGCATGTGGAGCTAAGCCACTGCTTTCATTCTCTCTCCCATGGAGACCACCACACCAGTTAAAAAAAGACCCACTCTCCTATGGACAGAGAGAGAGAGGAATGAATAGGGAAGGAGAGAGGAGAGAGAGAGGGAAGATATGGAGGGAGATAGGGAATGATGGAGAGCAGAGAGGTATGCTGTAGGGAAGGAGAGAGGAGAGAGAGGGAAGATATGGAGGGAGATAGGGAATGATGGAGAGCAGAGAGGTATGCTGTAGGGAAGGAGAGAGGAGAGAGAGGGAAGATATGGAGGGAGATAGGGAATGATGGAGAGCAGAGAGGTATGCTGTAGGGAAGGAGAGAGGAGAGAGAGGGAAGATATGGAGGGAGATAGGGAATGATGGAGAGCAGAGAGGTATGCTGTAGGGAAGGAGAGAGGAGAGAGAGGGAAGATATGGAGGGAGATAGGGAATGATGGAGAGCAGAGAGGTATGCTGTAGGGAAGGAGAGAGGAGAGAGAGGGAAGATATGGAGGGAGATAGGGAATGATGGAGAGCAGAGAGGTATGCTGTAGGGAAGGAGAGAGGAGAGAGAGGGAAGATATGGAGGGAGATAGGGAATGATGGAGAGCAGAGAGGTATGCTGTAGGGAAGGAGAGAGGAGAGAGAGGGAAGATATGGAGGGAGATAGGGAATGATGGAGAGCAGAGAGGTATGCTGTAGGGAAGGAGAGAGAGGAGAGACACTGGAGCTTCATTACGATGGATAATTCATATGGCATGATCTTGGAATAGAGAGAGTGCCTCTGTTTCCCCTCCAAAAACCACTGAATTCCCATACAATAGAATATGACACAAACAACACAAAGAGAACCTGACGAAGGCAACTGCTTTCTCTTCATCCCTGCTGATTAGACATAACAGCCTCCATCTCTAGAGCTGTGAGAGATAAGAGGAGCAACATAAGGGCTCTCCAAGAAGATGGCCCTGATGATGGAGCAGTGTTTGGGCAATGTTTTCAGAAGTGTTTGAGAAGCGTTTGGCAAATCCACTGAGAACAGTACTTACCCTGGCTTAGAGTCTACAACCCCCCCCCCCCCTATCACTCTGCCTGTCTCATCAATGTCCTCCTCCTTAGACATAAGCCTGACAGTTAGAAGAACCAATGTCCTTCAACCAACCTCCACACCCAATAAATCACCAATAAATAGAGAGGATGTCATGCAACAAGAAAGGAGGCAGTGGCAGTGGAGGTCAGGTTTTAGACATCACTTTTGATGACAACAGAGGATTGTCGTTGTCCTTGAAGGTCTTGATTAGGGTTGCAAAGCTACTGGTAATTTACCAAAGTTACCGGAATCTTCTGAAATGTTGGTAATTAATAGGTAATCTATGGCAATCTATGGTAACTTTGGTAATTTAAACTTGAATAACTTTTAATATATGTATTCATGTATAGTCCATGGGTTTCTAGTGGATAGACCATATGATTCAAGAGAAAATAACCTAATTAATGAAAAAAGCATCTAATCAACAATGGCATTGTTTTCAATTAACTCTGCAACTCTTCCAACTGCCAACAGTTTGGCTACAAAACATTTACATCAAAGACATATTGACATAGTAAAATAAATAAAAGTGTGTAAAAATATAAATTAATATGAATGTTTCAGCATAAAATATAAACACCAATTGCATTCACTAAGTTGATGGTTTATAGTTAGGATCATGTTTTACAGCTTTGACATTCTATTTTTTATTTTAAAATCATCTTATTTGATTACTTTATCTATTATACATGTAATAAGGCCACACAGAGGGCCAGAAATAATTACAGACACCTGTGATAATCTGATGAACCCAAAAAGGCCACTAGATGTCATCTTATAAAATTCCCCCCCAAAACTTGAAAGTTACTAATATTCTGGTACTTTACTGATGGTGTACTGTATGGTTGTCACACTGTGACTGTAGCTCTCCCTTTCTCCCCTCCCTCTTCTTCTAATGAGAAAGTGGGGGGGAAAGAGAGGGGGAAGGGGTGTTTCGACTTCAAAAGAGCAACTGAAACCCCTTGAACTGTGGAATTTGAAGGCTTTGTTGATTATTTGTAAAGATCATTTTCAACAAATCTTTATTTTCATACCTGTATGCATATAGCTACAGTATGTACATGGTATGTGATACTGGTAGTTCCTGGTAGTCTGTGGAGTGTTTTATGTAGTGGATATAGGTGATTATCCTACAATGCCCTTGCCAATTCTCAAGGTCTCCAAAAGCTACACATTGAAATAACATAATATGAGCAGTGAGGAGACAGCGCTTCCTCTCTAGTTGTGCGTCTTTGACAGAGATACAAATGAATAATTACTGGTGAACATTTCTCACTAGCACTAATGGTATCTGCTTTAATTCAACTTGGTTGCCTTGGTGACATGCGTGTCAGGAAGCAGGTGGCACAAAACCACCCTGCGCCCACTTTTAAATACAAGACAAAAACCACATTGCCCAGAAATCAGTGCCTTACAGGTTTGTGCCTTACCTGCCAATGAGGAGGAACTCTCCTCCAGCCACGCCCAGACGTCTCATGGCCATTAGGAGGCCGCGTACGGTCATTCCCTCACAGAAACACACCACCACGCGGGCCTTGGGCAGACGTTCACGGAGCTTCTTAAGCAGGCGGTCAAAGTGCTTCTCCCCAGCATTGCTGTAGATCTTGTCAGAGTGGGCGATGCACAGACCCTCCTGGGTGGCCAGCTCCTTGAAGGCCTCCATACCACTCTCCCCATAGTTTCCTAGGGTTCAGAGAGAAACAGAGGGGTAAGTCAGCACTGCAGACACAAAATGGCCAACGAGGAGTCACCATTTTGGAACAGAAAATGGAAAATAAAATATACTCTTCCTCAAGTCCCTCCAGGCTGATAGTGACTGGATTCAGCCACACTAACAACTGTGGTAGTCTGATGACTTTGAGTCGTCAGGCCGTGAGTGTATTGTGACTGTGCTGCTGTCCTGATCCATCCTCTGATATAACCAGATAGTCAAGTGGCTACTGATTACAATCAGGGATGCTGAATGGTGTGGAGAGGGCTACCCTAAATTTTCCCATGATTACATCCTAATCAGTTGTACAAGCTCTGCAATACTGTCCTATTTTACATATGTAGACTGTGTCTGAAATGGCATCTTGTTCCCTATGTAGTGCACTGCTTTTGACCAGGGCTGATGAAGCCAAAAGAAGTGCACTGTAGAGGATAGGGTGCCACTTGGGACACAGTCCTAGTAGTGCATAGAGGATGCTGCATAGAGGATGCTGCATAGAGGATTATGTATATTCAAAGTGCTGGCTTCAATCAAAGATGTGTCTGCAATGTTAATGCAGTGCTTTTGTTTACACAATCATAGCCCTCACACACACCTGTCTTATTCTGAAAAATGAGAATGGGCTGAATTGGCAGCACACAAATGCATTACTCTGGCATGATATTATAGACTAGGCCCCAATTGTTAGTTTTCCAGTATAGCAGTTCTATCTGAACAGGTGAATTCACATAAGGGTTGATAAATTCTAAACCCCTTAGATTCATTGCATTTCAATTTAAGTATTTCAGTGTTGTATTTCAGTCAAATTTTTCCTATCAATTAACACATTCACTCAATTTTCATCTCCCCGCAGATACCACATTTTTAACCAATCCAAAAGCATTCCCCAAAGTGCAGAAACACCATTTACCGCATACACTTAATATTCTAAAACTCAAATAGGCAAGTAGGCCTATAGCTTCAAACTGAAGAGATGTGTTTAGTTAGATCCAATTAATCCAATGTTGTGGCCATCACAGTGGGCTAAATCCTCCTGGTAGAAGATTAAAAACACTACTCTTACTGCGGCTACTACTACTGTTATCCTCCACTGCTTCCCTTCACATACAACACCCTTATTATGCCAACACTCTTATCTTTGATCCCAGTGGACTGCTACCTACCAGGTCTGGTGAAGGTCAGATCCCTGGCACCCCCTAGCTGAGCCTCATGGCCCTTCACCTCCACTCTCTCCTAGCCCTGCCTGCCCCTCAACCTGACCGTGACCTGTGAACTTTGTGACTCCCCTACAGGTTTCTAGTCTCGAAAAACCAGACCTTAGGTAACACAGTGACTAAGGTCTGGTTTCAATGATGGACTCTTTTGGCATAGAGGAACTACGTCACTGCCTACGTGCTACGTTGATAAGGGGAAGAAAAACTTTCTGGGGACTCTCCCAACAAATCACGATGCAGACATGCCAGAACGTCGCGATTCAAAACCTAGGTTTTCAGGCAAAACCTTTACAGTTGTTTTGGTTTAGGTAGTTGATGCAAACTAGCCACTTGTGAAAAGCACTCATTAAAAAGAACCTCTGTGATCTCCATCTTGCTAGCTACTATTTTGTATTTTATTCAAGCAGATAAAGTAGTGATGTAGGCAGTGACGTAGTTCCTCTATGCAAAAGAGTCCATCATTGAAACCAGACCCTAGTCACTGTGTTGCCTAGGGACGGGTTTGAGACTAACTGGTTTCTAGGTTCCACCTTTACAAGGTGATCCAAAGTTCGACCCTCCCTTTAGGGCCTCTATCACATATCCCTCTAACAACTCCCAGAATTCCTCAGTGTCCACTTCAGAGCCGAGATACACTCCGCCTGTCAATCATTACCTACTCTCACCATTAGGTACATTTCATTGAGGTTTATGCTGAGGAGCCTCGGCTAACTGCTAATGGCAGAGATTTCCTTGTAGTAACTACAGTTTAGCTATCTCCACATCTAATTCTACCTCTTCCACTTACAATAGTGGTAAACTGGTGAAAGAGTTTTATGTGATTGAGCTTACATGGTGTGTGTTTGCATTGTGGAGTACTCTACTGGTATATTAAAAATGTCAGCACTCTGGACAACGCACTCACACACTACCTACCGATAATGACTTCAGACAGGTGCTGCTGAGAAGCTATGTGGGCTGCTGTATTGATGTGCTGGTATTTCCAGTGTTGAGGGGCATTGCCAGAACCCCTTTGCAAGCTGTGCTTAGACTAGACATCCCTCCCAACCAGGGGTTACATACGATGGAAACACACTCAACACAGTAATTCCTCTACATCTGAATAGCAATAACACAGATGGGAGTTGATTTCTATCAATACACATAACGGGGGAACTTTTGGAGGTATTAGTTACACGCATAGAATTAGAATTACTAGTGGGATTCTATTTCTATGATTCCGCCCAGAGATACTTTAAATTCCCACTTAATGATGTGGTTCCACCACCTGTAACCCAGCCTGACAGTAGGCTACACAGCACAGAGTAGAGGGGAAACAGTCCATTAGTGGCCCTGTTATAGAGCCCGCCTGTTATTTTCTAACGGAATAGAATTAGCATCAAATTAAACATCCTGGGAGACAGAACATCTTAGATCACATCTCATTTCCTTTTTAATATAAATAGATACAAATAAACACCTAAATGCATTTCCATTCAGATAACATTGACAAAAATGTGACTGAATTGTGGCTTGAGAGATTGGATGTGTTGCTGGTGTGTGGGTGTGATGAAAGGCAAAATAACTGACTTTACCTGGGGTGTGTGTGGATACTTATACTGCACCAGATGCCTGGGGTGTGTGTGGATACTTATACTGCACCAGATGTATAGTTTTGTCTGGAGAGAGGGAATTCCATTCCACAGCAAGTTTCCTTCCAACGCAATATTGCACATGGGAGCACGCCCGCAGGGAGGAGGACAAGACACACATAGCTGCTAGCAAGTACTTAACTGTTTACAAACCACCTTAACAATTTATCCAACACCTCTATCAATAGCTGGGCATATTTATCTTAAACATGGATTTCTTATCTCAAACCTGAACACAGGCGATTTGACAGCATGTAAAAAACCTCTCCAAAGCCGTGCCATTCCTACAATGCCTACCAGGCCTAATCCTATCCTACCCCACACACAGCTTTCAGAACCCCTGTGTTGAGTGGGTTGAGTGACTCACCCTCCGTATGCACCGCAGACACATAGGTCCAGTTGTAGCGTTTGACTATGTCCAGCATGGCCCGGGCCTGGAGCGTGTCAGAGGGCACGACACGCAGGAAGTACTTAAAGAGCGTCTTGTCACTCAGGTCAATACTGGTCGCTGAGTAGGCAATCTGGGGAATGTTAAAGAGCTGTAGGAGGTTCTGCACCTGGATAGCAACGGAGCTGGAGCCCGGCCCGATCACCCCCGCGATGGGCTTCTTGGAGGGCGGGGGCTGGTTGGTAGGCGTGCCGTCTATGCACCACTTGGAGCCGTCCTTGTCGTCCCGGATCGAGATGAGGGAATCGCGGATGAACTCGATGCTCTGCTCCAGGGCCACGGAGGAGTGCCAGCAGGAGTCCCGGATCTCACAGCCCAGGCTGATGTTGGGGAGCAGGAAAGGGTCGGCATTGATCCTGTCCAGGGTGTGGAACATGGCCTCTACCCGCTGGATGCCGTACTGTTCCCGAACATCCCCACACTTTCGGTCAGCCACTTTTTCGGCAGACGGCTGGTGGTGGACGGAGAAGAGGGCACCGATTATAACGTCTCCATCCATCCGGGCCACGGAGCGGGGTGCGGCTCGCGGGACTGCCGACCGCTCATAGATGTTGCTTTTGTGGGACAGCACGAGGACGTCGAAGAATAGCGTAGGGAGACACAGGAGCACGAGGAAACCCATCTTTACACATGCCATATTCCACATCGCATGAGCGGTGCCAGCTACGCGGGCATACTATCCACTCCGGGCAGTTGAGCAGAAATCCACGTTTAACCCAGTGACCATAGTTTGGAAACACAGCGCCCTGAGCATATCCAAACACACATGGAGAGAGATCAAACACACTGTCATAAAAGATCAAGCAAGATTGTGAAGGCAGCAACAGATATGCAACATCTTACAGTTATCATATAGTCTCTAAATTACATGGGTTTGAAAATAATGGTGGCCCTCACAATAAACACGAGCATATTATTATTAGATTGACTAGTTCATAGCCCAAACACAACATGCCTACTAGAAATAAGGCTAATACAGTATCCCTTTGCAAACTGCAGAACATAAAACGAGAATTCGATTCAATTCAGTATACTATTATTTATACCACAGGGGGCAATTATCTTTACACGTTCATTGAGAATAACACTGAAGTCAATCTTTTTTTAATGGTTCAATTGTCGTAGACCCTTTGAACCAATAGAGGTAATATAAATGATAGCCTACTTAAAATTCGAGACAGTTTATCATCGTTTCCCCCCATTTCCCAATAAGAGTACATGGCATCGCTCCCACCGTCCATTGAGAAAACCGAGCTAAGGAGAAGGCCATTTCAGCACCATGGACAGCGCACTAACGAACTCATACGATTATTGAGGAAACGGCTTCGCACAGGTGCTGCTGATGTAGGCCACTGCCTACTGGAGCTATGTGCTGGTATTTCCACCGTTTAGAAAGTATCTCATTGAGTTCCTAAACCAATCAATGTCAATTTATATTCCCTTCATTAGACACTACTGAACAAATCCTTGATACCCAGTCTGATGACATGGAACATCGTTGCACTGAGTGGTGTGAAATTATATTTGAACATACATCAGATGTCCACGCTGTCTCTAGGTATAGGCTAACATATAAGCCATATATCATGCTCTATAAGATCCAATGCGCAGCATGCAATATTTTTCACCCTCAACCGCCCGAATTCATTGCTCACAAACCTCAGTGGCCTGTTTCCAAATATTCAATGAAATTGCATTATCGAACAAGAGAGAAGCCTATACGCACTCCTTACACTTTATCTGTCCTTGTCACGAGCATATCAAACCCGACACCTGCCCTAATCTGTACATCTCTTCTTTCATAAATTAATTTGGTGGGAGAACTTGGGACGTACCTGAATCCGCGAGACATATCGCGTGCCTTGCTCCGTCTTCTGTGCAGCGCGGTCCTTGTGATAGTTGAGTTTGAATGGCTCGAACGGACGTTTTTTTCTCTCTCCTCCAGTGAGAGCACGAGAGCCCCCCACCCCTCCTCTTCTTCTTCTCTCTCTCTGCCAGTTTCTCACCACATTTCATAAACCGGGTCATAAAAGCTGCAGTCTTGATAGGGCAAAACGATGAACGTTTAAAATCCCACTACAGGTCACTTATTCTTAGACAATAGACAATCGTATCATTCTTCACACGAGGGTTAATCAGCCTCAACCAGTGGTGCCGCATTAGAGAGTTGAGCGGTGCACGAGCCGCTTAGTCAGGTAAGATAAATGGTGTTTGTCTACAGAATTGTGACCCGGCCCATTACCCCATGCCACAACCGGACCGTCTCACAGCAAAAACTAATTCAGTGTGAGAATACCTCGATTTGTTTTGTCAACGGTTGACCAGATATTGGAGGAATCATCAATCAAATGTTCATTTTTCTACTAAGGGTTGAGAGACCATCATTGTGGTCCTGGTCCACCCTAGCTAATCCACCTATAGGCTATACATTGTACATTTTGATCCACACTATCTGACCTCTAAAAGCGGAGGGCACTGGATGGATGCCAGAAATGCCTGCTGGTTGCAGTCTGACTTAAGTCCAAATAGTAACCTTTTAAGGATCTATGGGCTTCCCACCTATAGTTAAAGTTGAAGACCTTAACTGGTAAAGCAGAAGAGGTAGATTGAGTTAATTGGCAAAAGTCAACTGGTATTTTGCAAAGGCGAAAGTCCTGCACATTTTGGAGGGGTGTTTGGTTTAGAGTTGGGTCATTTCTGTGCCATATTCTCTGTGCCATATTCTCCTCACCAAGAAATGGGGTAGGCGACAGCAGAGGAAGAACTGTACATAATATCAAACAGCGTTTGGAAAAATAATCAAAACTAATAAGGAGTCCACAAAGCTAGAGAGGGGCGCTTTCCGTGGGCACACGGGGAGCCAGCAGCAGAAGGCGTTTAATCAGTAAACAACCGGAGCGCACACTAGGACATGTCTTCCTGACACGCGCCCCGTGCAGTGTGAACATGGAGACCGAGCATAATTATGTGTGTGTGTGTGTGTGTGTGTGTCTGAGAGAGAGAGAAAGAGAGAGCAAGAACACTTATTAGGAATAGTTGTCACACGGTGTTAGCCTACTGTTGTAGCCTGCCTACCTCTTTGATGGTTGTGACTAGCAACGACCGGAAGTTACTTTTCGTAGCAGGTTAGGAGAGCATTTTAGCTAACCCTTATTCTTTTCCTAACCTTAACCTAATTCTCCTAACCTGCTACGTTAATTTTCCTAATCTGCTACGAAAAAGTCACTTTCGGTCGTAGCTGTATACCACATAGTCAAAACCCTATTTGATAGCCTACTGAGAACAGTTAATGGGATCAGTGATGTAAAGTACTTAAGTAAAAAATACTGTAAAGTACTACTTAAGTCGTTTTTTGGGGTATTTATACTTTACTTTACTATTTATATTTTTGACAACTTTTAAAATAATGTACTTTTTACTCCATACATTTTCCCAGACACCCAAAAGTACTCATTGCATTTTGGATGCTTAGCATGACAGGAAAATGGTCCAATTCACGCACGTATCAAGATAACATCCCTGGTCATCCCGACTGCCTCTGATCTGGCGGACTCACTAAACAAACATGCTTCATTTGTAAATTATGTCTGAGTGTTGGACTGTGCCCCTGGCTATCCATAAATAAATAAATAAATAAATAAAACAAAATGGTGCCATCTGGTTTGCTTAATATAAGGAATTTTAAATGATTTATACTTAAGTCTATTTTAGCAATTACATTTACCTTCGATACTTAAGTATATTTAAAACCAAATATTTTTTTACTTCTACTCAAGTAGACTTTCACTTTTACTTGAGTCATTTTCTATTAAGGTATCTTTACTTTTACTCAAGGATGACAATTGGGTACTTTTTCCACCACTGAATGGGATTTAGGAGACTGGAGGCTATAGAAGATGTTACATGAGCACAATGACAAGCGTGACCATAGACCAGACAGAGAAAACGCACTAGAAGAACATTATAAGTCACTGACTATCCCCCTCAACCATATCCCATTAGCCTAACAGTCAAGACAACCTGAGTCACTTAGGTTGAGCCACAGAGCAATGTAGGCCTATTGCAACCCCCCTCAATCGGAAATCAATTCACAAAGACTTGAATACATTTTGCTTGATGGGAAAATATAGCCTACGTCAATGGTGAAAAAAATAATGAATTAATAAACTTATCCACAAATTCAAATAAGGGGCACGCAGCATCATGCATTGGACAGCTTCAGAACCAAGGACAGCGACTCCAACCCAACTTATTTTATAAAGCAACAGACTGCCCTCTGGTGTTTGCCGAATATCTTTTTAAACGTTCTTATAGTGCCTTCAAAAAGTATTCATAACCCTCGACTAATTCCACATTTTGTTGTGTTACAGCCTGAATACCAAATGGATTTTTTGTCTCACCCATCTACACACAATATCCGATAATGACAAAGTGAAAACATGTTTTTAGACATTTTTACAAATATATTGAAAATGAAATACAAAAATATAAAATGTACATAAGTATTCACACCCCTGAGTTAATACATTGTAGAAGCACCTTTGGCAGCGATTGCAGCTGTGAGTCTTTCTGGGTAAGTCTCTAAGTGCTTTCCACACCTTTATTGTGCAACATCTGCCCATTACTCTTTTAAAAATTATTCAAGCTCTGTCAAATTAGTTGTTGATCATTGCTAGACAACCATTTTCAGGTCTTGCCATAGTTTTTCAAGTAGATTTAAGTCAAAACTGTAACTTGGCCACTCCGGAACATTCACTGTCTTCTTCGTAAGCAACTCCAGTGTAGTTCTGGCCTTGTGTTTTGGGTTATTGTCCTGCTGAAAGGTGAATTCATCTCCTAGTGTCTGGTGGAAAGCGGACTGAACTAGGTTTTCCTCTAGGATTTTGCTTGTGCTTAGCTCCATTCTGTTTCTTTCTTATCTTGAAAAACGACCCAGTCCTTAACGATTACAAGCATACCCATAACATGATGCAGCCACCACTGTGCTTGAAAATACATAAAACGTTGTATTCAGGACAAAAAGTGAATCGCTTTGCCAATTTGTTTTTGCAATATTACTTTAGTGCCTTGTTGCAAATGGGATGCATGATTTGGAATATTTGTATTCTGTACAAGCTTCCATCTTTTCACCCTGTCAATTAGGTTAGTATTGTGGAATAACTACAATGCTGTTGATCCATCCTCAGTTTTCTCCTATCGCAGCCATTAAACTCTGTTACTCTTTTAAAGTCACTATTGGACTCATGGTGAAATCCCTGAGCAGTTTCCTTCCTCTCCAGCAACTGAGTTAGGAAGGACGCCTGTATCCTTTTAGTGACTGGGTGTATTGATACGCCATCCAAAGTATAATTAATAACTTCACCATGCTCAAAGGGATATTCAATGTCTGCTTTTTTTATTTGTACCCTTCTACCAATAGGTGCCCTTCTTAGCGAGGCATTGGTAAAACTCCATGGTCTTTGTGGTTGAATCTGTGTTTGAAATTCACTGCTCATCTGAAGGACCTTACATATAATTGTATGAGTAGGGTACAGAGATGAGGTAGTCATTAAAAAAATCATGTTAAACACTATTTTTCCACACAGAGTGAGTCCATGCAACTTATTATTTGACTTGTTAAGC